ATAAATTTGGGTATGTTGTGTGGTCATTTTCATTGAATTTTAGGAAGTCTTTAATTCCTCCCTTTATTTCTTCCTTGACCCATTGATGCTTCAGGTGAGCATTATTTAATTTCCATGTGTTTGTGGGCTTTCTGGAATTAGTGTTGCTGTTGAATTCTAATTTTAAGCCATGGTGATCCGATAAGATACATGGGGTTATTCCAATTTTTTTGTATCTGTTGAGGTTTATTTTGTTACCTAGTATGTGGCCAGTTTTTGAGAAGATTTCGTGAGGTGCTGGAGAAGAAGGTATATTCTTTTCTGTTTGGATGGAATGTTCTATATATGTCTGTTAAGTCCATTTGAGTCGTAACATCTGTTAGTTCCCTTATTTCTCTGTTAATTTTTTGTCTGATTGACCTGTCCAGTGGTGGGAGTGGAGTGTTGATATCTCTCACTATTAGTGCGTGGGGTTTAATGTGTGATTTAAGCTTTAGAAGCATTTCTTTTACATATGAGGGTGCCCTTGTATTTGGGGCATAGATGTTTAGTATTGAGATTTCCTCTTGATAGATTTTTACTATGACTAATATGAAATGTCCTTTGTCTCATTTGATTGATTTTAGTTTGAAGTTTATTTTGTTAGATATTAGGTTAGCTACACCAGCTTGTTTTGGTCCTCTTGATTGGATTTTTTCCCAACCTTTTACTCTGAGGTGATGTCTGTCTTTGAGGTTGAGGTGTATTTCTTCTATGTAGAAGAAGGATGGATTCTGTTTCCATATTTAATCTGTTAGCCTATGTCTTTTTATAGGTGAGTTGAGTCCATTTATATTAAGGGATATTAATGAACAGTGATTGCTATCTCTTGTTAATTTAGTTTTTGTTGTTGGTGATGTTATTTTGTGTGTTTTTCCCTTCTTTGAGATTCGATGCTGTGAGATCATCTACTGTCTGCGTTTTTGTTGGTGTAGCCAAATTCCTTGGGTTGGAGTTATCCTTCTAGTATTTTGTGTAAGGCTGGGTTTGTGCCTAGGTATTGGTTAAATCTGGTTCTATCATGGAATATCTTGTTTTGTCCTTCTATGGTGATTGAAAGTTTTGCTGGGTATAGTAGCCTGGGCTGGCATCCGTGGTCTCTTAATGTCTGCATAATATTTGACCAGGACCTTCTGGCTTTCATTGTTTCCATTGAGAACTCAGGTGTAATTCTGATAAGACTGTCTTCACATATTACTTGGCCTTTTTCCTTTGCAGATCTTGATATTCTTTCTTTATTCGGTATATTTAGTGTTTTGATTATTATGTGGTGAGGGGACTTTTTTTTTATTTGGTCTATTTGGTGTTATGTAAGCTTCTTGTATCGTCACAGGCATATCTTTCTTTAGGAAGGGAAAGTTTTATTTGATTATGTTAATATATTTTGTAAATATATTTTCTGTGCTTTTGAGTTAGACTTCTTTTCCTTCTTCTATACCTATTATTCTTATGTTGATTTTTTTCATGGTGTCCCATATTTCCTAGATATTTTGTGTTAAGCTTTTGTTAGAGTTAGTGAGTTTTTTTTTTGACCAATGAGTCTCTTTCGTCTGTTTTATCTTCAGTGCTTGAGATTCTCTCTTCCATTTCTTGTATTCTGTTCTTTATGCTTGCATTTGTGGGTCCTGATTATTTTCTCATGATTTCTGTTTCTATAATTCCCTCGGCTTGTGTTTTATTTATTGTCTCTATTTCAGTTTTCAAGTCTTGAATAGTTTCTTTCATATGTTTGTTGCTTTTTCTTGGTTTTCTTTCTTTTTAAAAAATATTTTATTTATTTATTATGTATACAGTATTCTGTCTGCATGTATTCCTACAGGCCAGAAGAAGGCACCAGACCTCATTATAGATGGTTGTGAGCCACCATGTGGTTGCTGGGAATTGAACTCAGGACCTTTGGAAGAGCAGGTATTGCCCTTAACCTCTGAGCCATCTCTCCAGCCCCTTTCTTGGTTTTCTTAAAGGAATTTGTTGATGTCTTCTTATTTTTGTTTGTCTTTTCCTCCATTTCTTTGAGGGAGTTTTTCATTTCCTCTTTAAGGACCTCAAACATTCTCCTAAAGTTATTTTTTAGGTCATTGTCTTATACTTCGTCTATATTTTGTTATTCAAGCCTTGCTGTTGTAGGGCCACTATTTTTTACTGGTGTTGTGTTGCTCTTTGTGGTGTTGGTGTGTTCTTACCTTGTCTACCCACCTTTTCCTCTGATTGGTGTAGTTGGGGCTGTCTGTGACTCTGGTGGTCAGTCTTCCAGGTGCCAGTGGATCCAAGGCTCCTCATGGTGTTGGTTCCAGTCACCTCGTTGGTCACTCTGTGTTCCTGGAGGTTGCTTGATTCAGGTCTGCTTCCATGGAGATTGCTTGCTTGGTGCTCTTTCTGCTGCAGTTGCTGCCTTGGGCTGGCAGAGGTCCTGGCTCAAGCCTACTCCTTCACAGGTCCCAGACTCGTGCTCGGACCCACAGAAGTCTCTGGTTCCGGTCTACTCTCTCAGGGGTTGCTCCCTTGTACCTGCTCCTGTGGCGTTAGCTATCTCTAGAACTAGCTCTTGTAGACCAGGCTAGCCTTGAACTCACAGAGATCCACCTGCCTCTGCTTCCCCGGTGCTGGGATTCAAGGGAAGGCTCTTGATTGGCATCTGCTGCCTTGAGAAATGTGAGCTGCCATAGTTTCAAAGAAGTAACCTCTCGTCACTTATGGGGAGTTCAACTCGGTTCATTTTAATCCCTCATGGCAATGTAAGTTGGTTTTTTAAAAAACCAGTTTAAAGGTTGTTACCCCTGAACTGGCAGTAGAGTATCTCGTGTTTGTACACTTTGCTGTCTGCTTGCTCAGTTCTAGGAGGAAATTGGGTCAAGAATCCACTGACTCACTAGGACCCACACAGTGGAAGAAATAAACTGACTCTAAGAAGTTGTGTTGAGATGTACACATGTGGATCATATGTGAACACACACACACACACACACACACACACACACACACACACACACACACACACACACACACACTGTAAAAGTCAATTCTTTCAACTGCAGTGGGGAATAGCGTGTGTATTTGCTCCCTCTTGTGGCTACAGAGATAACTGCACTCCAATGCCAGATTAGTGGCCTGACATCTCCTGGGCTCTAAGAAGTCTAGACAGGGTGGTGAGGTTCCACCATCTCCCTTATTTACTTCACACATTCCTCTAAATGGTCCCCAGTTTTATTTCAAGACATCTATATTTCGAGGAGATTGGTTAGTCTGTAGAGTTCTTGTAAAAAGGAATAAGGACCTGGGTTTGATCCCAGCACTCGGGTCTTCGGGGGTCAGTGACACTACCCACTGAGCCACCTAACAAGCCTGATGGAATTAAGTTTAAGAGCCCTCAGAAGCAAACTGTCTTAATGAAAGGTGACTGCAAAGCAGATGCGAGTGAGACAGATGTTAGTAAGTTTACGTTAAGTAATGTGAAGAGAGGAATCTCTCTCTCCCTGGTCCTCATCTCTGCATCTAAGACAGCAGCACCCAGGTTCACCCTAAGCTGAAATCAACCCTTTTCTCCAAGTTGCTTTGGTTGTGGTGTTTTTCACACAATAGAAACCTTAGCTAAGGTAGCAATTTATACCAGGTCATGGGGTATTGCCATGACAGAATGGATCATATGTTTTTGGGAGGATGGTGGTGGCATTTTAGCTTTGGACTAGAACAGCCATGGAGTGCTCAGGCCTCAGTGGGCTGTTAGATGGGAACTTGGAAGATAAAAATGTTGAGAGTGGAGAAATGATGAAGGCCTGGCTTGCGAAGTTCCAGAGGGAGGTATAAGAGTCCCATAAGGACTCTATCGGGGCCGTCTGATACTTTGAATTAAGAATCTATGGTTCTGGTTAGCTGTGGATCACTAAAGAGAAAACTTTGCTTTGCAGGGACAATAGATGCTGGTCTTCAGAAGCTGAGGAATTAGTGGTGATTAAGATGAGACTAGCATCGCTGAAGCCAAGTCATCTGGGAAGTGTTCCCTCAGGACCATCTCATGGAAACTGTGGTCCAGAGGGGGCCAAGGCTGTATACTGTGCTGGAAGCCAAACATAGTGTGTGTAAGAGTCTCCCAGGTGGTGCTGGTTTTGAAGGCATAAAGGGATCATGGAGAATAATTGGGACTTGACACTGTTTTGGTAGGACCTGAGTTCCTGAAGAGAATCTGGGAGAGACCATTGGTGAAGGTTCAGCCTCATCTGTAGTAGAAGCACCAGGACTGAAGAGATCGATCATGGAGAGGAGATGGGGATTGGCACTGTGTGAGTCCCTAAAGAAGGCTCAAGAGAGGTTATTGGTGATGGTGCAGCCAAGTGGCTGGGGAGACGCCAACATTTTGGAGATGCCAGATGATGTGATCAAGGATATCAGCAGCCAAGAAATGGGGCTGACTTGAGCCCCAGGGAGCACTGTCTGTTCTGTGGCAAGCCCGTTGGAGCCCAGAAGATTATGAGTGAGTCCCAGAAGTCTGACTCTGAGCCTTACATGGTTGGACTTTGATTTTGCATTTTGGTTGTATCCTGGTTCTTTTCTCCTGGTTTAGAAAGGATTTAATTTATTTTTTATTTTACAGGAGCCCACAACTGAGAAGTGTTGGAATCTTAGAGAGACTGAACTCTAACAGTGTTTGAATTTCTAAAGACTGAGATTTTTCAGAGTTGGAATGTTTTATATTGTTATATTAACATTAACATGCCATCTTGGGGAAAATGAGAAAGGAGAATTTTAGGTAATTTTAATTTAATTTAATTTTAGTTAAATGTATTTGTGTGTAAAGTTAACAAGGGGTCAATTGTACTGGCTATTTTTATGTCAACTTGACACAAACTGGAGCCATTTGGGAATAGGGACTCTCAATGGATAAAATGCCCCAGTACTGCATTTTTGATTAATTATTAATGTGGGAGGGATCAAATCACTGATGGTGACGCCAGTCCAGGAAGGCAGTCCTGGAGCATACACGAAAGGAGGCTGAGGAGCTGTGCAGTAGGCAGTGTTCTTCCATGGCTTCTGCTTCACTTCCTGCTTCCAGATTCCTCCCTTGAGTTCCTTCCCTGGCTTCCTTCAGGGATGGAGCTATAAGCTGTGGAGTGAAAGAAACCCTTTCCTTTCCAAGCGGCTTTTGCTTTTGATCATGTTTTTTTTTTTAAATCTTCTATCTATCTATCTATCTATCTATCTATCTATCTATCTATCTATCTATAGGAGTGTTTTGCTTGCATGTACATATGTGTACCCTGTGCATGCCTGGTGCCGCCAGAAGCCAGAAGGGGGCACCAAGTCTCCTGGAAGTGTAGTTATAGATGGTTGTGGGTCATCATGTGGATGCCACAAATCCTTTGCAAGAGCAGCAATGCTCTTAACCATTGAGCCATCTCTCCAGGCCCTGGTCATGGTATTTTATTACAGCAATTTTATCCTTGGGTAAGACAGCTGGATCCCTAGCCTGAGATGCAGACTGGAGCCATATATGTCCTTACACACCTCCTTCCATGCCCAGCTCTTGGCTAACTCTTCAATCTGCTACTCCACTTTTTGAGTAACAGCACCGTGTGTGTGAACATCTATGCGTGGATATTTATCCACTCCCAGCTTCCTCATGGGCACTTTGTAAGGACAGAAGGGCAGTCATCTGAACCCCAGCCCTCAGCTCTTCAGGACCATTCAGTTCTGTGATGTGAGGTCCAGCTCTGGTATAGCTATGTCACCAGCCTCTAAAGCCTCAAGAGATGGGAGGAACATAAGACCCCAGTGTAGAATCAGAGCCATTTTATTTAGTTATGAACACAGACTATTCATCTCAGAAAGAAGGAGAGCGGGTTTCTTGAGAAGATGGTCATGGCATTTTCCAGGACATGGGACCCCTTCTGTGAGCCATGGGAAGCTGGGCAGGAGGAAGTGGACAGAGCAGCAAGAAGTGGTTCTGTTGGGAGAAGAGTTCAATCAGCAGGGAGACTTGAGGTTGGTGACTCTCACTGATACCGTTCCATTATCACCTGGCACTCCGAGGGACAGGGGCATGCTGAGACTCAAGGCTATGTCTTGATGGCTTACTTGTGTATGTATATGAGTGTGTGTCTGTGTACTCACGGGGACTTGACTAGTGAGTCTGTGTATGTGTGCCTGTGTGGATGAGTGTTTGACTGCCAAGTCTATGTGATTGATTGTGTGCCTGTGATCACATATGTTTCTCTTTGAAGCTGGATTGCTTTGGTTCTGGTCCATCTCCACATCTGTCAGTTACTCCATGGACTTCACACATCTCTGTGTGTCTACATCCATGTTTGTCTCTCTCCTGGCATATTGGTGCTATAGCTTGAATCTAACATCCTCTCCTGAAGCCCACGTTAAAGGCTTTGTGCCCACAGCGGTGCTGCCGGGAGAGCTGCTGTGGGTGCTGTTGTCTCAAGAGCCTGGCTTCCCTGTCCTAGAGGATGACAGCTAGTCTACAGATCCTGGGAAATGAGAGAAGCATTTACCACCACAGCAGAGACAGGTCCTTTCACAGAAGGCTTAGGCCTTAATGACAAATTGTACACCATGCAACAGCAATTCTAGAAGAAAAAAATGACTAAAGTTATGATCTGGAGGCGAAGGAGTTCAGAAGAACCTGAGTGCCATCCGAGGCTCTGAGCACCAGCCATGCTCACTGTGCCCAGACACGTCAGGCAACACGAGGTCTCCCCCTACAGCCAGCCCAGCTGTTCTCAGGTCAGGCTGAGGAGGAGGCCAACTATACCTCAGACTCATCTGGATCATTCATGGGAACAAAGTCACCCCCAACCAAGGAGGAAGTGACGAATGAGACCTGGCATCCCATGGTGTGTAGGGACAAACAGCACTCACCAGCAACGTCATGCATCAGGGTGACATCCAAGAGGCTAAGGATTCCATTGACCACAGGACACACCTGACCCAGGGTAGAGAGGGGAGTGAGGCACAGGACCTCCTGCAAGGAGACCCTCAGGGAGGCAGCATGCCCACGGTGGAGTATATTCAGGGATACTTTCTACAGTCCAGAAGAAATCAACCAATGTGTTTGGAGGTGTGGAAAGACGTAACACAGATGGCTGGATCACAGGACAGACGGACTGATGGATGGATATTTCCCATCTAGAGTAGCCAATTTAGCTCAGCCCAAGAAGCTCTAAGACTCGTGGAGCAGGGTACTCTCCCTTTGATCTCTTACCACGCCCTGCACCAGGCCAGGAATGACTTTAGTCAAGATGTCTGTGAGGCTGTCTATCAGGTTTTGAAGTAGATTGAGTCTGGAAGAAAAAGGAATGCGTGTGACCCAGAGGCTTGGAGTTGGTCTGGAGAAGTTCATCAGCCACAATACACACCCAGTCTTGTCACCAGTAACTGAGACCAGGCCTTGCACACTCATGTCCCTGGCAGATTTAACAGCAAGGACCCTAGATGAAGAGAGTGACACCCAGACCAGCTGTGCATGTACAGAGGAACATAGAATAAGCACACATTCCAGGGACACAGTAGGTGCACAACAAGACTGGAATCCGTGAATGTATGAAAAGCACCTGGTTTGTAGTTGTCATGGAGATTCAATGAACTGATACATACAACGTTCAATATATGAGTTTAGCAAATGTGAGCTGTGGTGTGACCAGGTCCTCTACTCTATGAATGGCTGGGCCTTCTCATGGGGCAGTCAACTGGAACAAGCATCCAAATAGGTGCGCATCTATTTATCTCTTAGGAAGATTCTATTAATAATATCACATGGTTTTGTGTTGAAGATAAGCAAGGTGAGACCAAATTAGAGGAACCCTAGCCAGGTTCATGTCAGAGGTGCTCTTATTCACCTCAACAGGCTATAAATGTTGGTCTTAAACCATATTCTATATTGCCTATCCAACATAAAATTGATCATCTTGGTTTAATAAGGGGCAAGTGAGCATTTATTCATCCATTTATTCATCTACCGATACACCTGCCTATAAATCTTTCTCCCTATTCACCAAATGTCTTACCATCCATTCATCTATTCATCTAAATATCCACCCACCCACCCATCCATCCATCCATCCATCCATCCACCCACCCATCCATGATCCCGCCCATCAATCCATCCTCCACCCACCCATCCACACTTCCTTCCCCAACATATCTTTCTTCCTGTCCTCTCACTCATTCATCCTCTCTTATTCCATCATTTTACCCTGCTATCTCTGGCAGGAGAACCAGCCCTTTGGCCTTACCCTTTAGGCAGCGTGATACGCAAGCTGCCGGGAGAGTTAATGCAGTCACCAATGACCAGACGGCTCCTCCCTTGAATGTCTCTCACTGCGTAGATCTCTGCAGTGAGATCCAGCTTCACAGCGAACTCCAACAGTCTTCCAATCAGGGGTCTGACAGAGAAGGCAGAGACAGCTCAGAAATGGCATCTGACTTCTCCCACTCCGAGGTCGAAGGCTTCTCCTTGCCAGGAGTGCCAGCCTCACCTTAACTCCATTTTTGTCACAGTGGTATTGATCTTTGTTCCCATTAGGGGAAACCGAGATTCAGAGAGATTGTGTGTTTTCCACATGACCCGAGTTTGTTCAACACATCGAATAGATAAGATTCGAGGCTTGGCCTTTGCAACTCTCCACAGCCACCAGGCTGTCCCTTTGTAGGTCCTCCTCCCACCACCACCAGCCTTGGGACGTACTCACGTGTTCACTTTGAGTTCAAAGCCCAGAGGGATAGTGACGTAGAGGCGGTGGAAGTCGTAGCTCTGCACCAGACCGAGTTCCAGCAGCTGGGGATTGGTGACTTTTATGCTGGCCGGGGAGAAACGTTAGCATGTTAAGCCTCAAACCAGGGAACCACCTTTAAATTTGCTCATCACGGAGGGAGAGCTGGACACCTGGGATCAGGACAGCCTTGGAGTCAGAACCACCTGGGGTTCTGAGACATGCCCCTGTCATTTCCAATTTCCTTCTGGATCAGATCCTGACATACCCTATCCTCTGTTTACCTCAAGCCTAAGAGATATTTGAGGAAAGAGACTGGGTATGCTGGTTTGGAGCCTTTCAAAGAAAAAGGCTGACTTTTAACTTGGTAGGAAGATGAGTCATTGGGTACTGGGGAGGGTGGATGGCAGAGGGAGTGGTTAGAGGAAAGGAAGGAAAAATGGATGGATGCACTGTCAAAGGAAACAGCAGCACCTGCTGGGAAGAATTCAGGAAAGGTGGGAGGGCGCCTTCCCTGTGCTGTCCGTGGTACCAGGTATCTACCCTTCCCTGGTCTCCACATCCTTTCTCTGTGTGTACAACCCCGTCTCACAGATGGAAAAATCAAGCCCAGGAGACCAGGTGCCTAACTCTGGATCATCCAGCACAGACAGTCTTACGGCAATCAAACTGACGCCTGTCTACTGTCTCCAGGTCAGGAAGCAAAGGCTTGGGAGGCTGGGAATCCTGGCAATGGCTTTGGTCTGGTCTTACTAAGGACTCAGGTTTGGGTATCTAGGCTTTGTGCCTAGGAAGCTCTTGAGTGGCTCATGGGAAGCCCCACATCAGGTCTCAGTCACATCCCTTAGGAGATACGGTTGAGGAGGGTAGCCTAGTGACAGCCCACATTCCACAGAAGGGATGAGCAGTGGGCAGAAAAGGCCCCAGGTTGGTGCTTGTCTGAGTTAGACTCCTGACTCTGCATCACCCTAGCTATGTGAGCACAGGCATATCTCTGTGCCTCAGTTTCTCCATCTGGGAACTGGGGATACTGGAGTTGACATGGAAGGGTTGCCATGGGGATAATAGCTGCTCCTGGAGCCCAGGATGTGTCTTAGGACTGGGGGCAGCTACAGGTCAAAAGGGCCCCTGTTCCTTATAGAGTGGAGAGAGGCCTGGGGGTTGAGCCTTGGCTTCATGCTCAATCCCTGCCCCCCTCTCTCTCTCTGTAGGGCTGCTGCCTGGGGCTGGCAGGTATTCAGCTGTTAGTGGGAACCAAATCCCTCTTTGGGAAACTCACTCAAGGATGTTGTTCAGGATTGGGATTGAGGAAATCACTCTTCCAATCACCCCGACCAGACCACCGGCGTTGCTTCCTGCAGGTCTCACATAGCTCAGGAGAGGCATGTGTTCCAGAAAGCCCAGAATGCCCCCAGACAGCAAACCTTGGCTAAAAGCTGCAAAGTGGAGAATCTCAGGGTTCACACTACTAACTCTGGAGCAGCAGTTCTCAGCCTATGGGTCACAACCCCTTGGGGGTTAAATGGCCCTCTCACAGGGGTCTGCTAAGAACATCGGAGAGCACAGATATTTATCTCATGATTCATAACAGTAGCAAAATTATTGTTTTTTTTAGTAGCAAAATTATTAATATGAAGTAGAATGAAAACAATTGTATGGTTGGGGTTACCATGGCATGAGGAACTGTATTAAATGGTCACAGCTTTGGGAAGGTTGAGAACCACTGCTCTAGAGCCTTAGCCATTCTTTCTCATTCCCCTTCTTATTGTCAGGAAGTTTTATAGACCAGAGCACATGTGTGCAAACACACACACCACACACACACACCATAAACTACACACACTGTACACCACACACACACATTCCATACACCACAACACACTGTACACCCCCACATGCACACATACACACCACACACAATACACCACACACACACTGTACACCGTACCACACACACATACACACCATACACTACATACACACTGTACACTACACCACACACATACACAGCATACACCAACACACACACATGCATGCAAGCACACACACATCCCTGAAAGACACTGTTGCAGACTCACTCACCATTTCTGAAGTTTGCAGCAATAAGGTGTGTAGGGTATGTTGTTACAGCTGGAGTCACCGTGTAGGATGGGCTTGGGCTCAGGTGCATGGGCCGGTAGTGACCCATGGATATGGGCAGGTTCTGGTCCAGGTGCATGGGCCGGTAGTGACCCATGGGTATGGGCAGGTTCTGGTCCAGGTGCAAGAGCCGGCAGTGACCCACAGATGTGGGCAAGTTCTGGTCCAGGTGCAAGGGCCGGCAGTGACCCACAGATGTGGGCAGGTCATAGCTTAGGGGTAAGGGATAAGCCAGCTGGGCTGAACTCTGGGCCAGCAGCCCACAGAGGACCACGAGGCTCCCAACTAGAAGCATCTCTTGGTATCTGCAGAAAGAAAACAAGTCACCGTGGTATGGGTATCAGAGGATTCTCTGCACTGCCTGTCCTGTCCACAGGTGTGGGGTTTCTCCCCCCCCCCCCGAAGCCCAGGGAGTGATAACTAGCAACAACAGCTAACACTGCCATAGTGTCATCTGTCCCAGGCCCCAGGCTGAGCCATTCAGTCACCAGCTTCATTGTCACCACATCCTCAGACGCAGGCAAGGACAAGCTCTAGTGCACAGTTGGAGCAGAGGCCCAGTGACTCCAGGCTGTCTCTCCCCGTGTCACAAGTTGCAGCAGAAAGAGGAGCTGAAGTCAAGCATGCCTGATCCAGAAGCTTCTATGTAGTTAAGTGACCGTCAGAGCTACTCTGGGGTTGGGGCATGTGACTGTGGTGGCCTGACTCTCCAGTGTGGATGAAGAGGCTCCAACATGGCAGAGGCTGAAGATCTGAACTGCTCAGCCATCATCTCTGCTAAGCGATGGTTCTTTGGTCTTTGGATGGTTCGGGCCATGATGGTTTGTGGATACCATCAAGAGCCATGGAATGTCCAAGGTCACATGACCATAAACAGCTTCTCAACTGTGATGGAACCTGAAGTTAAAGTTCCTTCCTTCCAGCCTTCACTTCAGGCATGTTGAAAGCTCACTGCTCCATCAATGTTGCCCTCTCTAGGAAAGGTGAGTGAACAGAGTCCTTGCCCCTGACCAAGGCCATCCCCGTATCTCGTGGAAGCCCCCCAGTTAGTGACAGTACCATCTGACAGCACAAGCTTACAGTAAGGGGCATGGCCTCCTGCTCCCCAGAGACTCAGTGGAGCAGAGGAAGGGGCAGGTCTCACCTGAGTCTCGAGGTCTCAGCAGCTGTCCTGGGCTTCTCTTCTATCTGTTTCTGCTGAGGAGCTGAGAGCCTCTTTTATAGAACCGGACTCAGGAAACACAAGATTAGATGATGGGCTTCTAGATAATTCCCAATTCTGCAATCTGGCAGTGTCTTTCAGGGTTCTGCAAAGTAAACAATTACCAATCACTTAATCAGGTGAGTCAGATGTTTGATCCACACGTTAAGCAAGATGACTTGAGATGGTAGGTTATTAAAGACTTCATGGTCCCATGCATGAGGATTACATTGGAGATCCATGCTCATGAGTGGCAGGAAGATCAGGCTTGGAATGGAGTGGAACAGCAGAGTAGCCTCGTCAGGAACTTCATTCTTTGCTCTCAGTCCATATCCTTCTGAGGTCTCGTTCCTTTTCTCTGTTTGGTGATATTTTGCTCACCCACTCACTACATGTGGCCTTCCCAGCTCTGAACGATCCCTTAATTACATGCACACGTATGTGCAGGTGTAGGGGCACACACGTGTGCATGCTGTTTTCTAAGTCACCAGTGCATGATGGTTAGGTGCTTGTAGGTCCTCACCAGATTCCTGGTAGGGATGCTGCTTGTTTCCAGAGGAGGAACTGAGGTCCAGCTAGAAAAAGTGACCCAGAGTACAGGGCAGCGTTAGAAGTCAACTCACTGGATAGCAATGGCATATAAACAAAGGCAGCATGGAGCACGTGTGGGTCCTCAGAGCCCAGGGGTGCGAATGAGCTTTGATAATGGGAGCTGGGGCTCAAGTGTGAGGTGGCAGGACAGAGAGACAGTCACACTAGGTCTTTCTCCCAATCAGCGGACTGGGAGATGAAGCCTCTAATTTACTCGCTCTTTGCTTTCCCACTCACATCTCCCACTTCTAATAAAGATTTGTTTGAGTTGGAGGGAGGGCTTCCTGGTTAAGAGTGTTTGTGGGTCTTGTAGAGGACCCAGATTTGGATCCTGACATCCACCCCACTACTCTAGTTCCCGTGGATCTGATGCCCCTGTCTTTCCTCCGGCAAATGCACACACAGGTGGCGCTGTTTCCGGAGGCTATGGGGCTTTTAAGTGTGGGAGCTTTGCTGGAGGAAGTACATCACAGGAAGTGGGCTTTGAGATTCTGTAGCTTCACCTCACTTGCCTTTCATTCTCTTTGGTTCCCGCATGTTGATAGGCATGTGATCAGCCAGTTTCCTGTCCCAGCTGTCTGCTGCCATGCCTCCCCACCATCGCGGCCTTGCCCTCTGTGACCATAAGCCAAACCAAATTCTGCCTGTAGGTTGCTTTTGGTCATGGCATTTTAGCACAGCAACAGAACAGTGGCTAACACAAGGACTGTGTTGTTTGCATGGCTAATGCCATCATAGTCATGGGTGCTGTTGGATGCGTCAGCCTTTGGAGCAAATTCACCACAGAAACAACATTCCTCAAATTCCTCAAAAAAAAATTCCTCAAAAAAAAAAAAAAAACCAAAAACATGGAGCTGTAGCTAATCAAGTTCTTTCCAAATCAGTGTCTTGCCATTGCCCATTCTCTGAATCTTCTGGCAGTGGCCACTGGAGCCTGTACAGATGCTGTGGAGGCTCTACATTCCTCTTTATTGAAGTGGCACGGAAAGCCATCATGGCTGAACCAACACCACCTTACCATCTGCCAAACCATGCTGCCTCAGCCTCCACTTAATTCATCCCTGGTGGACCACTGAACCCAGAGTTAGAATGCAGGTATTTCTCAGTTTTTATTATTTTAGACTAGGTCTCTTGGTGTAATCTCAGACTTGCAGAGATCCACCTGCCTCTGCCTCTCAAGTGCTGGGAGGGGTTGAAAGGTGTGTACCGCCACACCTGGCAAACTTAAATCCCTTCTGCCTAAATGTTCACAGTGGTCTCCTCTCAGTGCAGCTTCCCTGTCTGTGGTGAGTAGGTACATGTTAGTGCTTTCACAGGAAAAACAGAAAAAAATGAAAACAATCCAACAAGCTGAACAGTACTAAGCATGCCCTAAAGGGGTCCCTCAGGCTGAAAGAGAATGGAAGTTAGCAAAAGTGCAATAAATAAGTAAAGAGAATAAATAAACAAAGAGAAATAAAGAACACCTTATGAGTAATAGGGAAGTATAAAAGACGATAAGGCAGGTGGGAGGCGGTGGAGCACACCTTTAATCCCAGCACTCCTGAGGCAGCGGCAGGCAGATCTCTGTAAGTTTGAGGCCAGCCTGGTCTACAGAAAGAGTTCTAGGGCAGCCAGGGCTACACAGAGAAACAACAAAAATAACAAAAAACCCAAAATCTAAAAAATGGTAAGACTGGAAGGTGGCTCAGTAGGTAAAGTTCTTGCCTTGCAAACCTGTTGCCTTGCACGAACTGAAGCTTGTTCTCCAGAACACACATACACACATAAACACACACAGACACTCACACTCACATATACAAACATAAACACATACACATAAGCACACACATATACATACATATATACACACACATAAACATACAAATACACACACACATACACAAAGCTTGGCATGGTCGCACATGTTTATAATCCTAGCATTAAAGAGGCTGAGGCAGATCTCTGGGACTCACTGCCCATCAAGCTTAACCTTCTTGGCAAATTTTACATTATTGAGAGACTTTCTAATAATGTGGATAGTCTCTGAGGGACAGTAGCCACCACACACACACACACACACACACACACACACCAACACTCACATAAACACATGCACTTGTCACGCACAAGACAGTGTGAATGTGTTTTTGCCTGTAACTCTTTTCTCCTTCAAAAAGTAGAGAGACCGTTTAGAGGAACAATGATATAAATGCAGGTAATGAAGGGGCCTAGCCAGACCCCGCCCTAGGTCTCTAGAGGCGAGGATCTAAAGGCCCCTCATAGAGCATCAATGTGCAGTTTCCTTTGCAACCACAAGAGGGAGGTGATCTACACTTTGGTCTCTCCCCACTTCCCAGGCCTGTGAAAGAACTTTTTTTTAGTTTATTTTTTTTATTTAAAAAAGGAAAAAAAAAAAAAACCCTATCTTTTCTCACTTTACATACCATTTCCACTTCCCACTCCCTCCCCTCCTCCCACTCCCTTCCCTCCTCTCACTCCCTCCACCTTTCCCTCAGCTCACCCCCATCCACTCCTCAGAGAAAGTAGCTTCCCGTGGGAGTGAACAAAGTCTAGCACATTGCTTTGAAGCAGGACCAAGGCCCTCCCCACTATGTGTCCCTCCAGAGAGAATGGGCTCCAAAAAACCAGTACAAGCAGTAAGGATAAATCCTGATCTCACTGCCAGTGGCCCCACAGTCTGCCCCAGCCATACAACTGTCACCTGTATTCAGAGAGTCTAACTCTTAACCATTTATACAAAAGGGATTGGCCTATCACCTCGATTTCTGGCAAGGACTTGATCTCAACTCCTCACACACGGAGACTTGAAAGCCCAAAGTCACATTGCTGGTGAGCAATGGGTCTATCAGACACCAGCAGTCAAGGTCCACCACTCAGGTAATTCGCTGCAGATGGAAAACTCATGGGCTCCCAGCAAGTCTAGTACTTTCGAAACAAAGAACAAGCTGGTCTCTAGCACGGGCAACAAAACTCCCTACATAAGCAAGGATGACCTTGACTTTCTGATCCTCCTGCCTCCACCTCCCGAATGCTGGGATTGCAGGAATGTACCACTTCCGTTTTACACGGTGCTAAGGGTCGAGTCCAGGCTTTCCTTCCTGGTAGGCAAGCCCTCTAACGATTAAGGCTCGTACCTGCCCAGACTTCTTTCTGGAAGAAACTTATTTTGAGTGTGACTAGCGTCCAGCAGGGCACTAGCGGTAAGTATACTCATCACTTTCCCGACATTAATTATTGGGCCCTGAAGTAGGATTGTGGATATATCAATAAAAACATAGGAGATGAGGATGTAGCTCATTAGTTGAGTGTCTGCTGAGCAGGCCCAAGGTCATGGGTTCATTTGGAAGACATTGTTCTGATATTTTCCTGTAGTTTTTTTTCACAAGGTTTCTGTGGATTTCAATGAGAATGACCCCCACAGGCTTATGTAGTTAAATGATTGGGCCCTGATTAGTGGAGCCGTTTGGGAAGAATTAGGAGGTGTGGCTTGTTGGAGAAAG